ACAGTCAGACATCGGGTCATATGCTGTGGTTTAACATCGATGGACAGCCCATGTATTGCTTTACACCCGAAAACAAATCCGAAAACACTGTTTCGATAAATAATCACTCATATATTTAATGTTTAGATGAAGTATATGCTTTTCCCAGGGAAATGTACGATACGTAATGTTTTTTACAAGTTTTGACACAACAGCCCCTCCCGTCTGGACATCAAAGTGAGTGTTATATTTGTGATAATACGTTTCGGCGGTCACCACAGGACTGAATGGGATTGCATTGAGGCTAAGGTTGTAATACCAGTTTCCGCTCGGCTCGTATTTTGTAAGACCATTTAGATTGTGATCACATGTCATATTGTGGTCACGCTTCCGGTTATCCTATAGTATGATTTTAAATGATATTAGTTTTAACACATCATTCAATCAATCATTCACTCACTGTATATGAAACCACACAATCGTAAAAACAATAGTAAACGAGTGATGGGAACTCACAAAGGGCTGAAAATCTAGTGATAGTTAAGGCACTTATCGTTTCGACATTTGATCCATTGGTGGACACAAAGATAAGTTGGTTTCCATTCCTTTGTATACCAAATGTCCACATCTTGTCGTTTGAATACATCTTAACACTAGATTTCAGACCATATGGTGAATCCAGTGTCCACTTTCTGTACATTTTGATACCATTATATGTGCCATTCGTTTGCATCAAATTACACATTGATTGGCATTCAATGGCAGATATCATACAAATTATGATCAAAATTGTTCTCATTTTTTGGGATAATAAATGTTTTAAAGAGATTTTAGATCTGAGAAACAATTGACTAAAAAACGTTTAATTGAAATGATATGAAAACTAAAGTGATTTTTGTATTTTTGAAAATTACATAATGATCTCGCGATAATAACAAGTAAACTGTATTAAATAAACCAAATGTTATAATCTCTGACAGTAAGTATAAAATTAAATACAAACTTCATTCAATTTTTCATTGGATTTCAGCATTAAATGAATAATTACTTTTAACAATTAAATATTTATAAAGTTTATATATTAATAAAATTAAAATGCAAGCATCAAATTAATGTTTATTAGTTATAACTATCATTCAATTTTTCATTGGATTTCAGCATTAAATGAATAATTACTTTTAACAATTAAATATTTATAAAGTTTATATATTAATAAAATTAAAATGCAAGCATCAAATTAATGTTTATTAGTTATAACTAGTTTGTAATAAAATTTTAAAAATATATTTTATTTTGTATTTTGGCGATGATTTAATAAAATAATTTTGTGGAAAAATGGAAATCAAATCTAGTGTTTATCTGTTACCAATATTTGATGACTTTATTGATATCGCGTCGTCTTTAATGGTCGACAAATCGCTGGCAAAACTTATCGGATTTGTTGTCGGGTCTAAACTCGATTGTCTCGCTCATCGGTATAACATCACTACATCTGATCCAAAGAGTAGTACGAAAATCATTAGCAAAATGCCAAACAAAATCCATAATACTGTCAAAGAATTGTCAGAATCGATGACTCTATCGAAACAGTGTTTTCGGATTTGTTTTCGGGTGTAAAGCAATACATGGGCTGTCCATCGATGTTAAACCACAGCATATGACCCGATGTCTGACTGTCCACATAGTAGTCGACAATACCCTCCAACTCATGCCTCAAATTGTGTGATATTTGTCGGACAAACACTGGTGTCCGGCATTCAGGCCGATGCAAACAATCGGATTCATACATATATTTAATGTAAATATCTAGTTCATCTCTGAAATTTGGATAACCATATTGTCCGGTTCAGGACAATATTCATCGGTATTATACTCAATGCTTACATCAACTTTAAGACCAAGATAAAAATTTTTAATGATAAGTTTCGACATATAAATCGTGCCATTGATGTGTCGGCTGAGGTGTGTGTTATAGAATCTATAATATAGATGTGCCGACGGGTGCCGGCGGTCACCACTGGACTGAATGCAATCGCATCGGGGATCAGATCATACTTGAAATCAGGGCCATCAAATGTTGCTAATTTAAATATAGCCTTTTGACTGTTGTCCGCAATGTTGATACATATAATATAATGGTCAGCCTTTTGTGTATCCTATGGTACAATTGTATTAGTTTAGTCACATTTCTCTCTCTCTCTCTCTCTCTCTCACACACCTTATAAGACACAACACAA